AGCAAATCTGGACAGACTCTAAAATATTTCTGACAGTGCTTGACATGTATATATCCATTCACTTCATCAAATATTTCAAGTAATATTCCCAAGACCCTAATAAAGCTAATTTTGTCAAAAAGTGATCTCAGGGGGGAGCTTTAAATTCAGAATAATTTTGAAATATAAGTATATACAGTGTGTGTCCCCAAACAATTATCAAAAGTCAAATATTTATACATTACAGGTGCTCTTTGAGGAGATCTGAGTGATTTATTAGTGTTTTGGGACTGAAATGATACATATTTGATTGTATGATATGCACATAGTCGAAAATTAGGCTAGTGGATTAAAAACAAGGATTATGAATACTCCCAAAATAGACCCAATTTCGTTGATCTCATTTGCATTTATCTTTTTTGACATTTTGTTTGAAATAACATCCAGCATTGTTGATTTTTATACAAAAATCTTACAAGCAATATGTAGAAATATAGTTTTTTTGATTCCAAGTAATAACTAAAGAATTTTAGCAGAATACAGAATACTGAATAATTCCTTGGCAGATGTCACATATTATATATTTTAAATATCACTTCAGGCATAAAAACACAATATTTTTTTTTCACTTTGATAAGAAAGTTGTATTAATTTTGTGTTTTTAAATTTCAATGGTATATTGAGATTTTCATTACAATGTAAGGATTGCTATACCTCAAAACACAGAATGTGTGGATTCACACAGTGGGGAATCAAGTTTATTTCACGCTTGACTACAACAAAATTGTTAAATATACCCGACTGAAATGAGCAAGAATCTGAGTACAGGCAATGTATTATTCACATATGTGGTATGGCAAGAAATTACATGTTTTTTTGTGTTTTGAGGTTGCAGAATTAAATCTTTGATGATCAGTTTGGTTGTTCGTGTATATTTCAAATGTCAAAAAAATGTCTGAATAAATATAAATCTGTTACCAATGGCATCCACGTTGAAGAACCATTTCATAAAAAATTACATTTCAATCATCCATAATATTCTAAACATTTATGACAAGAACCTGTATCTTAGGCCACACTGATTTAATTTTATGGATGACATCCTCTGAAGACCCCAAAACTAATGCGAGAGGGGGAAAAAATAAAATCCTGCTAAAACCACAGGACTACGGAGCTGTTATTACGAATTGAACCACAGTGTATCAAAAAAACAACAACAAGTCTTTATTTGTAGGAGGCACATGTTGATGTACGAATCTCGTACTGTATTACTGTCACAGGTATCTTCACCTTTGATTTTGAAAAGGCAAGAGGATAAGGCAGATGTTAGCTTTGCCAAAGGCATACACATCAACTCAATAATGAAGAAAAACTTACTGTGTTGTATTGAAACAAAAAATTGAATTAAAAATGAACAATAAGGTTGTCAACAGTAACCTGGAAATTAACTTCTTTGACATTCAAACTACAGCTTTTAAAGTGACACTTCAGATAGACTAAGTGTAGACACAAATGCTCAAGAACAAATTCAACTATGTAACAAATTATAAGAGGCTCAATATTGAAAAAAAAACACCAACAGAGAGTCATCAAAAATTTGGATGCAGAAAATTATGTACATGTATCTTGATGAAAATTTGTCATATGATCAAAATATTACTGACTGTGTGTGCAAGCGAATTATCCGAATCAGAAAATGAAAAAAAAAAATAATAAGGAACTTTTCTTCACCCCCAAAAAGGGACTTCGGCCGAGGAGCTTCCGCTGCTTTCGTTGCAGTTTTGTTGACTTCAATGCGGACAAAGCATTCGAACTGACTTGTCGCCTGACTGACTTTTAGGCCACAATACACCTCCACTCCTCTCCCATTTCTCTCATCGTTGCTGAAGAAACGCGGGACAGCCACTACCGATCTCTCGTATAGCTGTGTAAATGCCACATCTCCCGGGCCAACGTCAATTGCATACCAGTCTACAACAATCCATCCGTTTTACCACTGAACTTTTATGCTCACGTATTTTGTTGGAATCATTTACAACAAAATTGGCATGTTTAGAAGCAATCTCCTCCGCATAGGTCTTTGCGCTTTGAGGTAGTCCAAAACGAGTTTTACGACAAGTCGGCACTTTGCGACAATATGAGTCGGCAAGTTCTGGACAGAAAACTGATCTGTAGAGACTCAGCGTCGAATATTTTTTTTTTTTTTGAGAACAGGCTGAAAACATCCATAAAATTAAGTCGATGTGGCCTTATAACTATTAAAATATGATTCTTTTCTGTCATCAACATAGTTTGTAGATCAATTGCACAAAAATCAAAATTTTCAAGAATATTAGACCTAATTTTGTCCGAAAAGTAGTTTGGTGAGTATATTATATTTGGGTGTTTAAAGAAAGATCAGCTTTAATTGTAGCCAACCACCTTTAAGTTGTATTATTGATTTTTGTTCAAAGCCATTGACAAGCTCAGTAATATGTTTATGGCCCTGCAACCCAGAGAAAAGAATTTAGGAAACAAAAAATTACAATTAGTCGGTCAAAGTTCATTTAAAAGAAAAACAAATTGAAATGCATATGTATAGATAATATATCGGTAATCATAAATAAATAGTAAGTCAATAATAATAAAAATCAAGGAAATGTTCATTTTTTAAAATGAAAAAATTGTGTATAAAACCATCTGATTG